ATGACGAGTTTCAATTAGTTTTGTTCGAACTTAACAATGGTCCAATAAACTTTGACGTAGATCGTTTAAATACTATGATATTTAATCCTTTATTATCTGGTTGTCACAAAAGTTTAGCCCTCTCTAACGATTTGGACCCTGATTCTAATTTCTATACGAATGAGTTCAAATGCGATTATTACACAGAACAGAAATTTAATGAGATGATGATAACAAGTATAACACCAACTAATTCACATTGTTTATCTTTTCTTCATTTAAATATGCGTAGCCTCACTCGTAATTTTAGTAATTTGACAAATTTGCTTGCTAATATTGACAATAGGTTTTCTGTTATTGGCATCTCAGAAACATGGTTATCTAACTCACAACACACTTGTGATATAGACGGTTATAATTTTGTGCACAATCATCGTAGTCATAGAACCGGTGGAGGCGTCGGTATTTACTTAAGGCCGGCGCACACTAGAGCTATGTGCTTAGCAAAATGTCATTCGTGACTGTTGGCGTAAGGAGATAGCTCTCGTGTGCGGGCGATTTACGAACGACTTTTGTCATTCGTGCCACTTACGCCAAATATCTAACATGTTTGATAATTTCTGCCTCGCGTGCCAAAATCTTTCCGTGTGCGGCGAACGAAAGCTATCTGCTTACGGATTGTCTTAACAGCGCATGCGTAGTATACGAAAGTAAACATCCAAGATGGCGGCGCAAAATGAATTGCTGGCCGAGGCAATTTTAGAGGACAAACTTACTGGCTATTTCTTTCACCGCACATTCCCTTTTGTCTCTATTTCTAAAATCTGCAGAACTCACATCGTATAAACATTTGTATTCAGGCCAAAGTTCGACAAGTTTGTCCTCTAAAATTGCCTCGGCCAGCAATTCATTTTGCGCCGCCATCTTGGATGTTTACTTTCGTATACTACGCATGCGCTGTTACGACAATCCGTAAGCAGATAGCTTTCGTTCGCCGCACACGGAAAGATTTTGGCACGCAAGGCAGAAATTATCAAACATGTTAGATATTTGGCGTAAGTGGCACGAATGACAAAAGTCGTTCGTAAATCGCCCGCACACGAGAGCTATCTCCTTACGCCAACAGTCACGAATGACATTTTGCTAAGCACATAGCTCTAGTGTGCGCCAGCCTTTAGCTTCTGAGTTAGATTTTAAGCATCGTAATGATATAACTTTTGATGACCCATGTATAGAATCAATCTTTATAGAAATCTGTCGTCCCAAGGGGAAAAACATTATTGCGGGCGTTATTTATAGGCCTCCAAACCAGAGCGTGGATGAATTCGTTAAAAGTACTGAGATTTTAATGACAAATATATCTAAAGAAAATAAGCTTTGTTATTTGATGGGTGATTTTAACTTAAACTTAATGAACTATCATTGTCATCAATTTACAAATGAATTTCTGGATATAATGTACTCTAATATGTTTTTCCCTTTGATAACGCGCCCTACTAGAATAACCTCTTACACAGCCACGCTTATTGACAACATATTTACAAATCACCTCGAGAGTTACTGTTTTAGTGGGTTATTATTCACAGATATATCCGATCACCTACCAGTATTTTGTGTTCTTTATGACCAATGCACCTCTGTTGATAAGGAAGCGTATGTCGTTTACCGTGACAAAAACAAAACAAACATTGCTAAATTTCATGACAAATTACGAAATATAGTTTGGTCTGATCTTCCGGAATATAATGACCCTAAACATGCATATGGTAGTTTTTTGAATAAATTTACCGAAACATTTAATCATTGTTTTCCATTGAAAAAAGTAAATGCTTTCAAGTATGGCTTCAGAAAGCCTTGGTTATCGAAAGCTCTTTTGAAGTCTATAAAAAGGAAAAACAAATTGTTTAAAAAATATTTGAGTATTCCGTGTCCGATTAATGAGAATGTCTACAAAAAATTTAGGAATAAACTTAACCATTTGTTACGGATTGCCAAACGTAAATATTATGAAGGAAAACTTGAGAATGCTAAATCAAATACCAAAAATACTTGGAAGATCTTAAACGAAGTACTAAATAAGAAACGACGACCTAGGAAACTACCCTCCAACTTTACAGTTGACAATCAAAATATTTCTGATCCAGTAGAGATTGCAAATTACTTTTGTGATTATTTTACTAATATTGGCCCAAATTTGGCAAAAACAATTCCTAGAACGTCTAATTCGTATAAATCTTTTCTCACAGGCAACTTTGTGGATTCCATATTTTTAGATTTAACTACCGAACCTGAAATAATAAATATTGTGAATTCTCTTCGTTCTGGTATTGCGGCAGGATATGATAAGATCTCTATTTGGTCTGTGAAAGATTCAAGTGCCTTAATTTCGAGCCCTTTGGCACATATAGTTAATTTATCCTTAAAATCAGGGATTGTTCCAGATCAGTTAAAAATTGCTCGTGTTTTGCCATTATTTAAGTCTGGTGATAATAATATGTTGTCAAATTATCCACCTATTTCGGTTTTGCCCATCTTTTCCAAAATATTTGAAAAAGTTGTGTATAATCGTTTAATCACTTATTTTAATAAATCTGATATTTTGTTTAAAAATCAATACGGTTTTAGGAAAGGCCATTCAACATCTTTAGCCCTTCATCATTTATTTGATAACATCACCAAAGCAATCGACCAGAAAGAATATACTATAGGTGTTTTTATTGATCTCTCAAAAGCATTTGATACGGTAAATCATGAAATATTGATTAACAAACTAAAGCACTATGGCATCCGCGGATTGGCCCTTGATTGGATTAAGAGCTATTTTGATAATAGGCAGCAGTATGTTGAATATAATGGTGCCTATTCATTTTATAATAGTATAAAATGTGGAGTGCCTCAAGGGTCAATTCTTGGTCCATTGCTGTTTTTGATTTATATTAATGATCTCTGTAACGCATCAAATATTGTTGAACTGATTCTATTTGCCGATGACACAAACATATTTTTCTCTCATAATAATTTGTCGCTTTTGATGAATATAATTAATTCTGAAATGAACAAGTTATCTGAATGGTTCAGGGCTAACAAATTATCAATCAATGCTAAAAAATCTAATTATATGATTTTTAGACCACGTCAAAAAAGGCAAATTCTTGACTAACCATTAGAATTAAATGGCTATAAGATTGACCAAGTAAAGGAGGTTATGTTTCTAGGTGTAATATTAGACGAATGTATGACGTGGAAACCTCATATTTCGCACGTTGCTAGTAAAATTTCCAAATCAGTAGGAATTATACACAAGTCAACTTTTTGCCTTTCTAAATCAGCATTACGTTTGCTCTATTATGCTCTCGTATACCCTTATCTGCAATATTGTATTACAGTTTGGGGTTCAACTTATCCTTCTAATTTATATCGTATTGTCTTAATTCAAAAGCGTGTTATTAGAGTTATTAGTAAGGAGGCATTTGATGCACACACTGACCCCATTTTTCAGAAATTATGCATTTTGAAATTTACCGATGTCTACTTACTTAAATTAGGCACATTTATGTACAAATACAATAATAATTTACTTCCTCTAACTTTTGATAACTCATTTATAAAAATCAATCAAATTCATACCTACAACACACGCAGATCTAAACAATATTATATTCCTACTTGTAGAACCAAAATTCGACAGTTTTCCGCAAGTTATCAAGGTCCCTTATTTTTTAATTCATTAAGTTCAGATATTTGTGATGCCTCAACTGTTTCCTTGTTCCAATCTAAATTAAAAATGTACTTATCCAGTATCTCGTAAATTTTTCTGTAAATTCTTCTCCAGTATCTCGTAAATGTTTCTGTATTATAGTTGTACTGTATGCCTTTAGTGTTATAGTCATTTATATGTACGTCTAATTTCTGTCACTTTATTATAAACGTTTGCTGTGTGTTGTAGTCAGGAGGATCCCAAAGTCCTTATAAGCCTTATGGTTTTTATTTGGGTTTCCTCGCCACTTCTGTAACTATATTAATGTAATTATGTATATTTTTTGTGGCAAATTATTAAATTCAATTCAATTCAATTCAATTTTTCCATGCGAGATATATTTTGAATGCGTAATGAGCTAACTTGTGGGCCCACAGATCGGAATTTTAATTAAATTATCTATTGTTTGAAACAAAAAATTCAAACAAAACACGCGCATGAGCAGAACGGACTTGACAGCCTCTTTAATAATCAAGCATGGTAGAAAATTTGTCATTTCACGGATCAAGCATTTTCTAGAAATTCTGAAGTTATTGACACAACATTTAATTTAGCGCCGTTCCACATTTGCATAAATTATGTGCACTAAACTTCGTCTATAATTTTACTGAGAGATGATTGCGAAAAGTACAGTATGTCTAATAGACCTTATGCATAATGACGTGACAAGGCTTGATGCCTGCGAGGAATCTTGCATGGTCTTAATAGTCATCGACTGGGAAGATTTTGATAGTGGTCATTTTAAATTGTTCAATTTTCCCGGGCGATGACTACCACGACCAGCATTCTTCGCGGGCATCAAGCCTTATGACGTCATTATGCATAAGGTCTATTTCAGGAGGTTGTGCATATCCACGCCTTTTTCTTAAAGGCACAGTTTCACTTGTTCATTTAGTGAACTTTTACGAGTGAACTTTTTCAAGGAGTGGCGATATTATGGCTCATTAATTAAATACTGAAAGTCGGCCTAATTTACAGCGAAGCTTCAATTTAAATAAATTTTTAAAAAAATTGAATTTTGGTCTCTGAACATGATGAATAATATCAAATTACATTATTGTAGTTATATTTGTCGTGTTGTTGCAACGCTTTAAAATCACATCGCTCAGCAGATGACACCGTGTCTCTAATCCCCCTATTAGATAGCGACCGTATGTATAACGTACACAACCTCGCGTTCTAATTCATACACTCGTTTACTAATTAGGCTATACATGTTCATGCAATATACTTCTTTTCGCGCTTACTGGTCGAGGATTTTTTACTCCGAATTAATTTTTATCTTCTGGGGTACCTTAGCTGAACTGGCGGCTGTGTAGCAATTTCAACATTTAAATCATTTTATTATTAGTCTTTCGACCGTATAAAGAATGTTTTGAATACAAGTGGTTAAGAGAAAGCAGCAGAAACGTGAAACATGTCACAACTACCTATCTTTGTGACAAAGGCCTTTCTGGATGGTACAGGTTTGGGGGTGGTGCTGGAACCAAACTACCTACCAGCTGTACACCCTTAAATACATGTCAAGGTCATTTAACTGGTTGGATGAAAGGTGCGCATCCCACAATCGCTGATGGAAAGGTGAAGCGTAAAGTGTGTTTCAGCCACGGTGGTAGCCGTTGTTGTAACTGGGCGAATGACATCGAGGTTATTAATTGTGGATTGTATTATGTCTACAAACTCGGCCCTCCTTCGCAATGTAATGCGAGATATTGTGGTACAGACAATTGAGACTGTTTAACGTGGACAACTGGTAGTTAAAGGACACACTTTTGTTTCTTCACGAGTGGAAAGTAGATAAAACGTGATGTTTTTTTTAATAACACATGGTAATTGGTACAAAGATACTGTTTCTTCATCCCAATCACGAACGTTGTCTGGTAACATGTTGTGTATATCAGTATCATACATATAAACGTCTGTAACGAATTTAATAATAATAGTTCGTTATCCCTCTCGATTGCATGTAGTCTAGTTGAGTATAGAAGTTGTGTATAGACTGTTAAGTTAACCAGGAATATTAAGTTAATTAATCCAAATAGGGCTATTTCTAGGTTAAGCAGGGAATTTTAACCAGAATGTTTGTATGGTGCTTTGTCACATTAGAGTTCAATGTTATGTGCATATGAATATTTTATAGAATATGCGCAATATAAATTTTAATTATTATAAATATTATTAATGTTTTGTGTGCCCTCAAGACATCAACTAATGCATAACTTCTGTGAAATAAATGATATTATAAGAAAGGTACTTACAGGCCTCAAAGCATGACCATCCTCATCTGTTTGTTCATCCAAACTGATTTTCCTCTTGCCTTTGTAAAATCTCCCAAGAAGCATTGCGATTGTCCATGGACAATATACTGACTGTTACCACGGCAACAAAAGCATCAATTGCTTTTGCCGTCGAGGCGTGTTTCACCTTTTTCGAAGACGATTTTATTTCAGCTAAAGTAAAGATGAAAATTATAGTGTGAATCTATATAAACAGTATAGTTGCACTTCCCAGTCAAGTTAAACAGACTATGTTTTGCAAAAACCGGGCACTGCCAGCCTGATCCGCCTCGTGACGTCATTGAAGACGATTAACCTGCGAAACAAGCGCAGCCTGCAGATTAAAGGCCCAATAGGTGCAGACTGGTTCACTGCAATTGCCAAATAATGGTAAATTCTATGAAAATTTCTCCAGATGTTTCTATAATGATGATTCTGTAAAATCATACTAATTTCAAAGAATGTTAAAATGTATCTAGCTTAACAGGACTACACCACAGTTTATTTAAAAATGGGAAAAACACGTAGCAAAAAAGGAACATTCCGTAAAATTACGAAAATGCCGTAAAGGTCTTATCCCGGCGTATGTACTTGAGTAAATGCGTGTAAAGATGCCACATTTCAAATTTCGCCATAAACTGATGAACAGAAATACTGGCGTCAGGAGTCGTTTTCATACGCCTGAATCACAATCGTATACGACTGGTCGTAAATGGGTCTTAAAAGTTACCCATTCAAAATGACTCATTTGAGTCGTCACAAAAACTGTAGTTCGTTTAAGCTTTTTCTTATTGCATGGAAACAAACAAACGGATCATTCACCGCTACATTTCACTTCTTTCACTCTTTAGATCACTCTGAGCGAAAGGAGAAGAGCTCGTCGTCTGAAAACATTCTATTTGGCAGAACAAGGCAGTATCTCGCTGCCCATATCTGACTATTTTTTACGCTCGACTCGCCCCACTCGGAACTATTCTAGTACTACTTTTATCCAACCGAGGATAAACTGTGGTTATTATTTATATAGTTATTTTCCGAGACTGACCATATATAAGAGACTGGAATTATATTCCCAGTGAGATTAGATCACAGAACTATGACAATTTTTGTAATAACTTCTTAATTTATTCTTAATCTTCTTTCTTAATTTATTTATTTATTAATTTCTGTTATCTCTTGTTGATATTAACGTGTTGAAGAATAATAAAGTAAAAGTTCAGCGGGAGATTACTATGAAAGATATAATATTTCTGTGAAAACACATTGACAAAACAGATACCACATGCGGTACGTATATATTTAATCTTCGCATTCCAAACTCCCATCTTTCGGCACTTCCATCACACTATACTCAGACTTGTCATCAACAGAGTTATTATCACATTCTACACATGTGTAAGTCAGCTGAAGCGCGTCTCATCTAAGTATTGTTTTCGATGTTTTTCTGTGCCAAATAGCTTCCTGTTATTCACTTAATCCAGGCCATAAACCTTGCTGCGCGCATCACCATTGCTCACAAATTGCAAGATCGGCTCTACCGTAACTGAAAAAAGATTTGCACTCAAGGGTTTTTCTAGTATATTCAGGTAACTATATCTCGAATTGTTATTATATATATTACGATAGTAACGGTATACACTCTAGAAAGGTTCACCTAAATTAAGTATTTTTCCTGGTCAAAATGGTTATCATTGAATTGGTCAAACCAGGGGCCGGTTGTATAAAAACGTAATTAGCGCTAACTGTAGTTAGCGTTAATCACTGTAGTTAAATCCTTAACTGTAATTAGTTAACTACATGACTTAACTGCGTTGCACAAAACGTAGTTAGTCGGATAGTTAACTAATCACGTAGTTAACTGTGCGCGTGGGGCTTGCGTGGGGCGTTTAAACACAAAATTACATAAAGTAAGCAGCGAGTAACGACTGCTGACACACATTTTCAACATGATTGTGGACACGCATTTTGCAAATAGGCGGGAATTTTATTCAAAACACTAGAAAACAGTGAAAAATAAACAAGAAAACAAGGAAAAACCGCCACAAAAATCATAAAAGAATGCAGTTTTTCCTTGAGATGTCTACGTTAAACCAAGGTCTAGCTGTTTGGCAATTAAATATCAGTGTTTCTTGGTGTAATGGACCATACTTCGTCTTCGAGAAATCGTCCTGTGCAAAAATATGTTCTGTTTTCGTAAAAACACCAAAGCGATAGCGTTTGAAGAGTTTATATTGTCAGGAAACATTCACAGGGAAGATAGCGATTGAAAATCTCGGGTAAGCGTTGCTTTTCATTATTGTATTACTGAAAAATGTTGTTCACTCCTATACAAACGCCATTTTTAACTACGTTTTGGACAGTTAACTATACCCTAAAGCATAGTTAACTTTAATTACTTTTTAACTGCAGTTAAGGCTAACTACACTTTTATACAACCGGCTTAACTACGTGATTAAAGTTAACTATTTTTTAAGGCTTTTTAACTACTTTTTAACTGCAGTTAGCGCTAACTACGTTTTTATACAACCGGCCCCAGGAATTTCGGTCTATTTTCCATGACTTCATACCAGGTATCTAGTTAGAAGTTGCAGCTAGCATAATCCGTGTTTACGCTGCGAGCCTTAGCCTGGCCTAGCTGGCTGGCCCGAGCTTTGCCTTGTCTACATTTTGGTAGTGTAAACAACCATTGACTTGACCTGGCCATAAAATATATGCTCACTAGAATCGTTGGACTATAGGACAAAGCTAAACAAAGCCTTGTGGCAATGTAAACAGTGTAGGCAAAGGCCCGCAGTGTAAAGGCACGGCTGTAGTCTCGTTGCTTCAACCAGGATGCCTTGGATGCAATACAAACCCTGGTAATAGATTAGTTCAAAGATGAATCAAATTAGTTCCAATGTAATTCCAAGTACGTGTTTTCTCTTTGTATTTTCAGACAGCAACCTGTCATGAATTGTTATCGCACACTATCACTGCCAGTGCTTTGCTTCGCCTTGGCCATCATTACAGGTGTTAAGCAGGCAAGTTGTTGTTGTTGTAGTTTTATAGGAGTGCTCTGTTATGCCATGAATCAGTGTGCAGTAAAGTCAAGAGTTTCATATTTTTTTAAAAAACTTCAATAATACGAATTCTCTCTTCGGCCTAGTTAGCTTGGGGGATGCATTCCGCTCTCCCCCCCCCCCCGCCTACTATTCAGATAAAAACCATTTATAATAAACCTGATCTCTACCCTCGCCCTTCCCGTCAATTCCTGGAGTAGACTTGTCAACGACCAAACAGATCATGTAAACATGATCTCTTTATTACAAAGAGCTCGATCATATATATGATACCTTATTTATATGGGTATTGTGGAATGCGGAACAGTAAATATGTTACTCTTATTACAAGAAAATGTTTACCAGAATTGTCTAATTAATTAAAACAGTAATATATAACAGTGTGCTCTGAATGACAATGTCTTAATCTTTAATTAAACTAGATTAGATCACACTGAGATTAGATGCAGTTAAAAGACATCGTCACTGGGCCTATTTGTGGCCGCCAACTTAATTTTTGCCTTTTGCACATAATATGCTTGTTAACAACAGATCAAATGATCGATACAGATTATCTATCTATCCCCCTCAAGGCTAATTTGTTTGTAGTTCGCTATACATCTATATTGAGATTCATTGAGTTATTAGAAGATCAGGGCTTAATAGAGGACGGGGGTTTAATTCTTTTTCAGAATATTCTTATTGAGTATTTCAGAACGCGCGCGGGGGCGGGAGGGGGATAAATAGAGACCAGGGGCTAAGTAAAAAAAAATACGATAGTGAGATTAATAAACTCAAAATCTTAAAAATTATGAATCTTAACTGACCGATAGAGCAAAAGATTGCGGATATTCGCCAAAGTTTCCAGATTCGAGTTTTAGCAAACGTAAACCGTTTACATTACAACAATATATGCACAAAATTCTGCTAAATGCAGAAAATCCAGTATATTACCACAGTCAAAACTCACTTTAATTCTTTCAAAATCCGTTTATGTTTTTTAATATACCGTTCATGCTTTTAATAAAACAGAAAATTACCGTTTGGCGGTCACACGCAAACACTTTAGCTGCGAACAGTCATATTCTGGGAAGGAAACTTTGTGTAAACGTATTACATAGCTCCCAGAAGAATAAAATCACCATTTTTTCAAGCAAAACGGTCTTTTTTATAGAGAGTTTTTGCACTAAACTCGGACAGATTTTAAAAAAAAAAATTTAAAAATTGGAGGTCGGGGACGCTAAACAAGTAATTTTTTTATGTGGCCTAAATTCAGTTGTCAGGTCAGAATAACGTGGATATTCTCTGGCAATAAATTTACAAACGCACGGGCACACAATAGCTTTTGGCTGAGCTAATCGTCACGTGTCATGATTGTCGCAAACATAAAATAAAGAGCTAAGATTTTTTTCGCTCTAAATTTAAAAATAGTTGCAAATATGACGTACCACGTGATCTTAAGACTCGCAATGTCCGCACACGGTGCGATCTTGCCTCGCGTGGACCAAATAGTCAAACACGATAGAATTTTTGCTCGCGGTCTCAAGTGTCAAATTCCGTAGCAAAAACCGTGCGCAAACGAGACTTTTTCGCTAAGCTTTTGCCACGCGTGGAGTAATATTAACTGACGCAAAAGCTATTGTGTGCCGCAGGCTTAAGGTAGTTGCATGTCTCTCACCTATCCTGCGAACGGGCATAATCTGGGAACGAGATTGACAGCTGTCTTGCTATCGTCGCTGCCTACACTGGCACAAACCAAAAATTCCTGTTGATTTCAGAATCTTTCCTTTTGTTGCAAATGGGCTCTGAAACTATCACACTACGTAGGATCAACCCATTGTTCTGTTCTTGTCTATATTTAGCGTATTCCAACACTGGATGGGTATGATCCTGGCTCATGTAACTACACAATTCATGGTAAGGAAGTTCTGGTCAAGGATCGAGATGATAACGAAATTATTCTCATTTGTGTAAAGGACAAAAACGGTTACAAGTGGAAGTCTACAGATGGTACGTTACAATGAGGGGAGGAGGGATTGGTGTGTGAAGAAGGGTTAGCGTGGGGGGGGACGAGTTAGGGGGAGGATGGGAAAGGGGGGAGGCGGGGTTATTGTGGAAGGAGGAGTTCGGGTGGGAAGAAGGGTTTCGGATAAGGGGAGGGGTTAGGGTCGGAGAAGGGGTTATTCTTATATAGAGGGAAATTTATCACGCTGTTTTGGCTTATGTCTACTTTAGGAAATGAAACAGCTACTGTTCTACTACGGTTTAACAATTTTAGATAACCCGCGATTAGGCCAACAGGCTTTCGAATAACTAGTCAGGGGTTGGTTGCACGAAGACCGGATAGCGCTATGCACCGCGGATAGTGAAGCTACAAAACTACGGAAATATACTAAAGTTAAATGTGTGTTATACATTTCAAGAGACAATTTGAGAAAGCTTGAAAAAATTGCTATCCGGCTTTCGTTATCATGTTGCTTTTCATGACCAGGTACAAAGAACACGGTTGGTGAATTTTTCAACCCCGGTGATGATTGTGCTGACGTTTTGAACAAACGTCAAGATTCTGAAGATGGATTTTACTGGATTACTTTGAAAGGCCCAAATCTCTACAAGGTGAAACATTTAGTTTATTCATCACAAGGTTTCTGGTTCCCAGCCCACCTCTTGCAAATATATCTTTTACTTGCAATCGAAATATTTTGGCGACTTAATAGATTAAAAGACAAGAAAAATATGTAAGTTGGCTTTTCAACAAATATAAAACGTGCAAGTGACTACAATAATTAGGGTTACAATTAGATTGGGGTTACACTGATTAGGGAGGTTGATAGCCTGCGTGCAGCCCCATGGCACCCAACATAGTCGCTTATATTCTATGATATATAATCATCATACAGAAGCCCACACCTTAACCACTTACCCCTCATTTCCATGATACAATTTAACTAATCTCTACACGTTGATTTCCGAAAAAACAAGTTATTTTGCACGCGCTTGACGTTTGACTGCAGTGTTGGTCTAGCCCTTGCTATCCCATGACACTCTGTTACGTTTTGGCCACTCGCTAATAGGTGTATTGTGACATGACCACAGACGGTGGGGGGTTCATTTTGGTGGGACGAATAAACGGTTCCAAAACATGGTCAGTTCCATCCAATAGCAATCCGGTTGAACCATACGGCGAACCTCATTGGTTGAGCTCACTTGGCGATGCACCGATCATGGATTTCAGGGTACAAATGGCGACAAGCGAGGATTTCAAAGACACAAAGGCACACTGGTGGGTACTTTATGTATTTCAAATCCGAAAATAAAGACTTGAACATATTTTATGTCGGAACAGTTTGTTCCAAACGGATCAAAAATGACATCCCATTTTAAAAATCTGAATTAATTTTGATCCAGTCCTAGGACTTGATTATATATATATATATATATATATATATATATATATATATATATATATATATATATATATATATATATATATATATATATATATATATATATATATATATATATATATATATATATATATATATATGTGACAAATGCCAGTACTCTGCTCAGCCGACAAGACTTCATATGTGACAAACAGAACGGCTACGTTTGAAGAAGTTTATTAAAAAAAGGTATATTAAATACAAAAACTAAATTTTCGGCTGCATGCCACAGCCTTCTTCAGAGTGCCTATAGCTTTTCACAGAACATACTTATATACAATAAATTATGAATAAATTACTATTGTTGGGCGAAATCATGACTACCATTAAGGCCTTTCCGGTTGGTCAACAACATTCCTATCCAAAAGTTTTCACTCTTAAGTACTTCACTATGGTGTTGGTCAATAAGCATAAATTTTAAGCTCGAATGATCCGCCTCATGCACATCAATAAAATGATTTGTTATACTGCATGTCCGGCGCTTATGCTTAATGTGTGATTTGTAGTTAGCTAGTCTGGACTTAAAATTGGCCGTAGAGCCAACACCTTGCAAACCACAAAGCACACACTCAGCAAGATACACTACATTACTGGAAGTGCACGTCAAAGATTTTAAACTGAGAAATATCCTTCCAGTGGCAGCTGCACGAAAGGAATTGCCAAAAATCAAAAAGTTCTTACAACTATCACAGCGCTTGGCATCACATTTGTAGCAGCCTTCACCTTCCAGTTTATTGGGCTTATATGGGTTAGATGGTGCTAATAACTCCTTCAAATTGGCATTACGCTTATACGAAACAAGAATGGCACCCTCCGGTAGAATTTTTTTAGCCTGTTCATCACTATCTAAAACAGAGCGATGTTTACGAAAATTTTTTTGAATATCAGGAGCACTGGGATTAAACTTGGTAACAAAAACACAGGAATTACGGCGGATCATTCGAGCTTAAATTTATGCTTATTGACCAACACCATAGTGAAGTACTTAAGAGTGAAAACTTTTGGATAGGAATGTTGTTGACCAACCGGAAAGGCCTTAATGGTAGTCATGATTTCGCCCAACAATAGTAATTTATTCATAATTTATTGTATATAAGTATGTTCTGTGTAAAGCTATAGGCACTCTGAAGAAGGCTGTGGCATGCAGCCGAAAATTTAGTTTTTAAAATTTAGTTTTTATATTTAATATACCCTTTTTTTAATAAACTTCTTCAAACGTAGCCGTTCTGTTTGTCACATATATATATATATATATATATATATATATATATATATATATATATATATATATATATATATATATATATATATATATATATATGTTGTTCAAAATGAAAAAAATAAAAAATTTAATGTGCTGCTACTTAAGTTTCACGTATTACCGATCGTCAGACAGCAATAGATTATGGTGCACACGAGCTTTATATACTAAACTACCGTGCTAATTACATAAGTTCAGTCTAAATAAAACCTATTGGGATCTATGCGAGTGTTCAAATAAACTGATTTAAAATTTAAAACTTAGTAAATTAATTCAAAACCTACTTAAAGTCTATACGTAGTTGTTAAAACCTCTCGAGCAAATAATTTATGTTATCTCGTTCTTATAATTTTGTATGTAAAATTTGTTTTCATGTCTACACTTGGAGACAAGTTCGTCTCGTGTGTTCAAGAGGCGTGCGTTTCGTCCTTTCAAGATGGCTAGCTTTTCACAGAGGCATAATGTCTAGCTTTTCACAGAGGCAGGTTTTATTTAGACTGGACTTATGTAATTAGCACGGTAGCTTAGTATATAAAGCTCGTGTGCACCATAATCTATTGCTGTCTGACGATCGGTAATACGTGAAACTGAAGTAGCAGCACATTAAATTTTTTTAAATATTTTATTTTTAATTTTTTTCATTTTGAACAACATATTAAGCTCTGCGAATTTCCCGCATCGAGCACTGTACTCGTTTTGGCTCCAACAACCAAGCAAGTTATAACACAAGTATTCCGTATCGTCATGAGACCAAAATAAAGCAATATGGTTGACTTTTCAAACATATCGACGTTACCCTACTAGCAGGCTTGCTTTATGGTGCGTTCTGACCGTATCAAAAATATAGTACCAAGCTTAACCTCCTCGCGCTCTACACCGTATCTACCACCCCCAAAAGAGCATGAGCATGCTCTCAATAAGGAAAAAAGCTTGCGCGAGTGAGTTTTTCTATTAACGATTCCAGCGCAATTGAGGTGATGAAAACCTCTCGAGTTAGTTTTGCCTTGGTGATGATAAATTTTGACCGTCAATCTGTAGGTCATTTAGACTTCAGTCACAACGTCCGTTGAAGAATCTCATGACAACAGCCGACGGATGTGATCAAAGATCTGCAGGAATTGGAAACATAGCTTATGTCAAAGACTTGCAAACAGAGAAAATTGTCTCTACAAAGTTACGATGTTCAAAATTTGGTTTCGCTCATCATATTGTACTTAAATTTGGATGGGTAAGTATACCAAACATTTGATGATGACGCAATGCCTGCTCTCGGCCTTCCATTATCCCATTCCAAAAAACGTCAAAAGAATTAGTGTCACGATTTGGGTTAGGATTAGAGTAAGATTTGGAGTAAGCTTGGAGATAAGATACGGATTGGGAATAGAGTTTTATATAATAACTACAGTGAAACACGCAATTTCATTGGTCGATAGCCGTGCATGAGGATCAGGCTATCCTGCACGAGGAATTAACATGCCTTCGCGGGATTTTCGCGGGATTCTCAAAATGTCATTGTTTCACTGTAGTTATTTTATAAAACAATTACCAAATGGTTTTCCAAGCAGGACAGCGTGATCCATGCACTTGGAATGTTGCTCGACTTTCGGAAAGCGTAAAAATACACTCGCCTGCGGCTCGATCAGGGTCTAAATCAATGTATAAAATTTACACTCAAAATTTCCATTTACCCTTCAACACAATATATTCTAGATCTGATATTTATCTACAGAGATAGCTTACGACTAATTATTGTTTTGTTACACTTAGGGTAAACAAGAAATTAACCGGTTGGAAAATCTGATAAACAAAATAAATACATCTCTCTCCAAGAGTAAGTGCTTGTCTTGAAGTACTATTTAAAAACCAGCAGGAGTGTTTTATTAGGTTTAAAGCCACGAGCGCGCAGCGCGAGTGGCTTTAGACCTAATAAAACACGATCTGAGAGTTTTTTAATAAAAACTCATTAATAATTCATGAAGCAATTATCCAATCTTGAGTAAGAAATTAGTCACGTGCACACGTCTTTATACCAGCTAAATAACACTTTAACAAAAGACCATTGTTATGCAAACTATATAAAGATTTTTATATAAAGATTTTTATATAAAGATTTTTATATAAAGATTTTTATATAAAGATTTGACTTATTATGCAAACGTTTTTGAAGCCATTTAAAAAAACTCGCGGGTCGTGTTTTATTAGGTCTAAAGCCACTCGCGCTGCGCGCTCGTGGCTTTAAACCTAATAAAACACTCCAGCTCGTTTTTTAAATAGTACTTCAAAAACGTTTGCATAATAAGTCAAATCTTTATATAAAAATCTTTATATAAAAATCTTTATATAAAAATCTTTATATAGTTTGCATAACAATGGTCTTTTGTTGAAGTGTTCTTTAGCTGGTATAAAGACGTATGCACGTGACTAATTTCTTACTCAAGATTGGATAATTGCTTCATGAATTATTAATGAGTTTTTGAATGAGATTTGAATATATATTAGATTTGTTGGCTCAATGTTAATTTCATTTAATATTTAATATACATAGTCATATTTAAAGAGGCTGTCAAGTCCGTTCTGCTCATGTGCGTATTTTGTTTAATTTTTTTATTTCAAACAATAGATCATTTAATTAATGTAAATTCAGATCTGCGGGCCCACAAGTTAGCTCATCACTCATTCAAAATATATCACGCAAGGAAAAATTGAAATACTAAAGCAAACATTTAACCCCAAAACAACAATTTTAAATGGAAACCGTTAAGAAGCACTTCTTACAGAGGTATGGACAAAACTTGACTGAAATTTGTACAAATTTAGCTCCAAAACGACAAATTTAAGATTGAAAATGTTAAGAAACGCATCTTTATACAAGGGTATGGGCAAAATTTGTACAAATGTCAGTCAAACTTTGTCCAAATCTTGGTAAGAAGTGCTTCTTAGTGTTTTCCATTTAAAAATTGTTGTTTTGGGGCGGACGTGTTTTATCTGCTCCGTTAAATCTCGAACAAATTTATAGTATACGAGTTATTTGATAATCTTTTGATGTTTAACACCTAAAATGCCACCGAAAAAGAATGCAAAATCGAGTCAGGATGTGGTCGTGGTGTCAGCCTCCGACGACGACAAGCTTAATATGGCGTCGTCTTCAAGCTTGGAAGACTTCCTTGATCGGCGATTGAAACAACAATCGGAGCACATCAACGACCTATTCATGAAATATTCTACAATGACAAAGAAGGATCTAGACGAAGTCAAGTCAAGTCAATGCTTTCTTAGTTCTAAATTTGATGACTTGATTAAATCGGTGGAAGAAGTTAAGGACGAAAGCAAAGCGCTTCGAGTGGAAAACGTTCGACTACAAGAACGCGTTGTCTCACTAGAAGGCCAAGTTACAACCGCGGAGACTGATATGGAGAACCTGAAACAGTACTTGCGGAGAGATATTATTGAAATTCATGGTGTCCCTGTGAGTGCAGGCGAAGGCACTAATAGCATTGTGAAACATGTTGTCGAATTGGTCGATTCCGAAATTAATTTGGACGATCGTGATATCTCTATCAGCCATCGGCTTCCCGCTTCGCCCGGACGTATTCCGGCGATTATTGTCAAGTTGATACGTCGCAATGTTCGAAACAAAATTTTTAATCTGAAGCATAATCTCAGGTTTAAAAATGCTCGAGATCTTGGTTTCCAGCAAGACTCAAAGTTATACATCAATGAAAGTCTCACACAGAAATGCAGGGAATTGTTGAAAACAGTTAAATCGTTCAAGAGGGAGAATCATTTCAAATTTGTCTGGTCCAGGATGGGCAAAGTCTTTCTACGAAAAGACGAAAACCAATCTTCCCGCGTTTGGGCTTTCACGACGTTAGAAGAGTTCGAACGCTTCAAAGTTGATTACCAACGGCACTAAAACGAATAGATCGTACATTCAGTTAAGTTTTATTTAATTTGTGTTGTCTCGAATTCGTTAATATTCTACCATTTAGTCACCTAGATGATGACGAGTTTCAATTAGTTTTGTTCGAACTTAACAATGGTCCAATAAACTTTGACGTAGATCGTTTAAATACTATGATATTTAATCCTTTATTATCTGGTTGTCACAAAAGTTTAGCCCTCTCTAACGATTTGGACCCTGATTCTAATTTCTATACGAATGAGTTCAAATGCGATTATTACACAGAACAGAAATTTAATGAGATGATGATAACAAGTATAACACCAACTAATTCACATTGTTTATCTTTTCTTCATTTAAATATGCGTAGCCTCACTCGTAATTTTAGTAATTTGACAAATTTGCTTGCTAATATTGACAATAGGTTTTCTGTTATTGGCATCTCAGAAACATGGTTATCTAACTCACAACACACTTGTGATATAGACGGTTATAATTTTGTGCACAATCATCGTAGTCATAGAACCGGTGGAGGCGTCGGTATTTACTTAAGGCCGGCGCACACTAGAGCTATGTGCTTAGCAAAATGTCATTCGTGACTGTTGGCGTAAGGAGATAGCTCTCGTGTGCGGGCGATTTACGAACGACTTTTGTCATTCGTGCCACTTACGCCAAATATCTAACATGTTTGATAATTTCTGCCTCGCGTGCCAAAATCTTTCCGTGTGCGGCGAACGAAAGCTATCTGCTTACGGATTGTCGTAACAGCGCATGCGTAGTATACGAAAGTAAACATCCAAGATGGCGGCGCAAAATGAATTGCTGGCCGAGGCAATTTTAGAGGACAAACTTACTGGCTATTTCTTTCACCGCACATTCCCTTTTGTCCCTATTTCTAAAATCTGCAGAACTCACATCGTATAAACATTTGTATTCAGGCCAAAGTTCGACAAGTTTGTCCTCTAAAATTGCCTCGGCCAGCAATTCATTTTGCGCCGCCATCTTGGATGTTTACTGTCGTATACTACGCATGCGCTGTTACGACAATCCGTAAGCAGATAGCTTTCGTTCGCCGCACACGGAAAGATTTTCGCACGCGAGGCAGAAATTATCAAACATGTTAGATATTTGGCGTAAGTGGCACGAATGACAAAAGTCGTTCGTAAATCGCCCGCACACGAGAGCTATCTCCTTACGCCAACAGTCACGAATGACATTTTGCTAAGCACATAGCTCTAGTGTGCGCCAGCCTTTAGCTTCTGAGTTAGATTTTAAGCATCGTAATGATATAACTTTTGATGACCCATGTATAGAATCAATCTTTATAGAAATCTGTCGTCCCAAGGGGAAAAACATTATTGCGGGCGTTATTTATAGGCCTCCAAACCAGAGCGTGGATGAATTCGTTAAAAGTACTGAGATTTTAATGACAAATATATCTAAAGAAAATAAGCTTTGTTATTTGATGGGTGATTTTAACTTAAACTTAATGAACTATCATTGTCATCAATTTACAAATGAATTTCTGGATATAATGTACTCTAATATGTTTTTCCCTTTGATAACGCGCCCTACTAGAATAACCTCTTACACAGCCACGCTTATTGACAACATATTTACAAATCACCTCGAGAGTTACTGTTTTAGTGGGTTATTATTCACAGATATATCCGATCACCTACCAGTATTTTGTGTTCTTTATGACCAATGCACCTCTGTTGATAAGGAAGCGTATGTCGTTTACCGTGACAAAAACAAAACAAACATTGCTAAATTTCATGACAAATTACGAAATATAGTTTGGTCTGATCTTCCGGAATATAATGACCCTAAACATGCATATGGTAGTTTTTTGAATAAATTTACCGAAACATTTAATCATTGTTTTCCATTGAAAAAAGTAAATGCTTTCAAGTATGGCTTCAGAAAGCCTTGGTTATCGAAAGCTCTTTTGAAGTCTATAAAAAGGAAAAACAAATTGTTTAAAAAATATTTGAGTATTCCGTGTCCGATTAATGAGAATGTCTACAAAAAATTTAGGAATAAACTTAACCATTTGTTACGGATTGCCAAACGTAAATATTATGAAGGAAAACTTGAGAATGCTAAATCAAATACCAAAAATACTTGGAAGATCTTAAACGAAGTACTAAATAAGAAACGACGACCTAGGAAACTACCCTCCAACTTTACAGTTGACAATCAAAATATTTCTGATCCAGTAGAGATTGCAAATTACTTTTGTGATTATTTTACTAATATTGGCCCAAATTTGGCAAAAACAATTCCTAGAACGTCTAATTCGTATAAATCTTTTCTCACAGGCAACTTTGTGGATTCCATATTTTTAGATTTAACTACCGAACCTGAAATAATAAATATTGTGAATTCTCTTCGTTCTGGTATTGCGGCAGGATATGATAAGATCTCTATTTGGTCTGTGAAAGATTCTAGTGCCTTAATTTCGAGCCCTTTGGCACATATAGTTAATTTATCCTTAAAATCAGGGATTGTTCCAGATCAGTTAAAAATTGCTCGTGTTTTGCCATTATTTAAGTCTGGTGATAATAATATGTTGTCAAATTATCCACCTATTTCGGTTTTGCCCATCTTTTCCAAAATATTTGAAAAAGTTGTGTATAATCGTTTAATCACTTATTTTAATAAATCTGATATTTTGTTTAAAAATCAATACGGTTTTAGGAAAGGCCATTCAACATCTTTAGCCCTTCATCATTTATTTGATAACATCACCAAAGCAATCGACCAGAAAGAATATACTATAGGTGTTTTTATTGATCTCTCAAAAGCATTTGATACGGTAAATCATGAAATATTGATTAACAAACTAAAGCACTATGGCATCCGCGGATTGGCCCTTGATTGGATTAAGAGCTATTTTGATAATAGGCAGCAGTATGTTGAATATAATGGTGCCTATTCATTT